CCCCAAAACCCCAAAACCCCAAAACCCCAAAACCCCTTGCTGCAGAGTGGAGGTAGAGACTAAAGCAACAATTAAAAGTATAAAATTATTTAATATATTATCATGGATCAAAGTCAAAACAGCAATGGGCTGTTCCTATTCACCAAACTGGGCGTTATAACTAATGTCTTACCCTATATCAGCATGTTTGAGAAAGAATGGTTTGATCTCTTATGGGGGTTGAGCAAGGGAACAAGGAATTTCTACAAGAAGAATATGAATTTACTTCACAATCTCAATAGAAGCTGAATCTCAAATCAACAAGAAATCTGACTTAACCTTATCAGAAAGTACGAGGATTTTGATAAAGTTCTTGATAAGAACTTTAACTTGTACCTCAACTGATTTGCAAGGAAAGAGAAGGCTCTCAACTTATGATGGAGTTCAGGCTCGCTTGCAAGTACCAAAATGGTCTCCCTCTGTGTTGTAGGCCTTTATAATCTCTCAGAAAAAGAGCTGAATGTTGTAGATGGATTCCTGAGATATTGCATCACTTCAAACTTCTCTACTTTCTCTTTAGGTATGCACACCTTGAAATTAGATAAGCTACCTGATGGAATGGCCAATGCCATGAAGTTCACGACTGGAAGAGTAAATCTAACTTCCTTTGAAATGACTCCATACCTGTTTAAACAAGTTGTTGAGTCATGTACACAAGCAAAAGAGATCCATTTTATTGGAGGTTCATGTGATACCCCTCCAGATGACTTTGAATTAGGAACAGGAAGTTCTAGTACCATTCCAAAGATTCATTTTCATGAGTAAGTCAGGAACTTCGACTAACAGTTCTTAAGCATCGAAGAGCTTCTAAATGGAAAAGCATTTTGTGATGTATTCCTATTTCCTCATTTTCATTTTTAAGTTTGGTTACTGGAGCAATATCAGCTTTGATAGGATTTCATCAGAAAATTTAGTAAGAAGAGCTGTTTTAGAAATATCCAGCCTTGCGTTTAGAGGAAAAAGTCAACAATAATCCTGTGTCATAACAGGATTTAAGAAGATTTAATTTCCTTTTGATCACGACAGCAGGGCTCTTCTTTAGATTTTTAATTTTTTCTAACAAATTTCGGGTATTGATCACTTGTATTCAAGAAATTAGTATCAAATCGATTAAAGATTTGGGTTCTCTTTCAAAAGCTGGCTACAAGCATTGCATAATATTGTTAAGGGAAGCCCACTTTTGGTTATTATCCTGTATCCTATTTACTAAATTCTTAATTCATAAGCAAAGAAGGTGTTGTTCTTTGTGAGGGTAACTATAAAAGTCTCTAATTACCTTTATTTGCTCATAATTTGGCAACCTTTTGTCTCAAAACTGTCTATAGGAGGACAGATGAAGATACTGATGCAAAAGAGCTGATCAAAATTGACTACACAAGGTACACCAAGAGCCCACCCGAAAATTAGTTGAAGGAGATGGGTCTTAATTGATAAACCCCATTTTCAACATATTTATCATTTACAGGGGTTTTGGGGTTTTGGGGTTTTGGGGTTTTGGGG